AATTTAAAGTTGGGTAGAAAAGCTTACCTCGTCGCCGGAAAAAGCAAAGCAATTAACCGGAATTGAACTCCCTCCCCGTCGGCGGTAGAAGTCTCTGCTCTGAATCGGTTCGTAGGAATGAAGCGGCGGATCCAGGTCTTTCAAGGCTTAATTAAATTACTTTCCAAATCCTAATCCTAATTGGTCAAATATTTTAAAAAACTTTTCAATTTAAGATTCGTACCCAATTCCTACCCGATTCGTCTGGATTCGTACCCAATTTCTACCCGCCGAATCCAAACCTGTAGATCCGTTTCCGGTACGTCACTAGCCGTCCCCGCCGGCGATTCCGTCCCCGCGTCGCTTCCGGAGCGGGAGGCGGCACCAAACTGCCGAACCCGTGCAACCTAGTCAAAAGGAATATGGAGGGGGAGTCTCATGCTAATATTCCAAACAATAAAGTGTACTAAATTATTCATCAATAATGGAGAGTTTGTAGATTCTCTTTCAGGTTTTCTCTTATTTCAATCTATTCATATCAATTCATCCATATCAAATAAAAAACATATGGAACCATAAATTCATTCATGTTTCATTGCAATTAACACACATTTCAGATTATTAATTAATAATTGACCCTAGATTTTAAAGCCAAAGAATGAAACTATAAAAGATTGAAAAAAATCATGAAATTGGCGAGAGTAAGTGAATAACTGGTGGGCTGCTGGTGGCGTTTGGCGTGAAAAGTACCGGCAACTTGCTGACTAGCCGCGTCTCTGTCGTCTCTTTGATTTCCGGATATTCTCTAAGGCCGAACACAGGGGGGAGTCGGGGAAACCAAAACGAGATTGGGATCTATTTTATTTGGTATTATGGGCTATTGGGCTTCGTATATATGGAGTATATAATAGTTTTTAAAATGGGCCCTTAAAATGATGTGCCCGGTCCGGACGGGCTACCTGTCCCCCTTATGGGCCGGCCCTTTAGAACACCGTAGGTGCCTCAGGTCATGATGTGACTCAAGGTTTCAAGGTCAAAATAACCATTGTGTCCATAATAATAATATAATGATGGATGAATGCAGGCGATGATATTACATATGGTGAGTTATAATGGGAAGGCAGACCTGCAGATCTTAGTTGCCAAAGACATCATTCCTGACCCCAACGTTCTAGCCAGATGTTTTGAAGATTCTCTCATGGCCATGAAACAAGCTGTTGTTGCTGCTGCGGTTGAACAGTAATAATCCTATATTGCATGTTTGCAAGGCATATATATGCATGCATGCATAGGCACTACTGAAAGACAAGGTCAAAACTCGAAACAACTTATCACCTAGCTTAGCTTATATATAAATACATAAGTTTCTGTAATTAATTCATGTGAATATTGTTACTTCATTATATTTAACTTTATGAACATGTAGCTCGTTTTCTATACTTTGATTATGTAAAAATAAATTCCAATGAAAATATATTTATTAAACAAAGTAATTAACTATGGTTTGTACAGTCTCATGGTAAGAATTAAGTGAGAGGGCAACATGTTTATAAGGTGTGTGTGTGTCCTTGACAAGATGCATATGCTCGTATATGAAATCTAGAAGATGTTATCCGTCACCCAAATAAATCTGTAGAATACACACAGAAGCCACAAGAAAATGCAAGTCGCAACACAAAGCTTGTTACAACAATTATTGTGATAGAGATGATCCACACCGTGTTGTAAGAACTTCTCTGTCACAAGTAATAACTATAACTTGAAAAATAGTAAACAACACACAAAATATTTTTGCATTTCGGAATAATTTCTCCTACATCTGTGAAGCCCACGTCCATCTAACAGCCATTCACTAAATCACTGTTGAGTTTTACACCTTCAATCAACAATAGATTCTGTTTATGAATTGAACTAAACTTCTTACACGTGAGATGACGACACTCTATTTGCTTCGAGCTCCCTGGCACGTTACACCTTCGCCAAGATCTTCTTCGAGGAAGTGTTGCTGGCCTTTCTCTAGAACATCAAAGATCACATTTGTTACAAACTGCGTATGGATTACAACGGACAGGGAATATGGATGGCCCCAAAATAAAGTAAAATAAAATAAATCCGAATTTATAATTTATTTGAATTTAATTACAATAAATAAATAAATAAAATCTTCTGATGTCTATAGGCCTTGCTCGACAATGAAGATTTTGTGCACAGGATTAAAGTAGCAAACTGGAATGTGGAACCGGTAAATGAAATCTATAAAACCAAACACCGTAGAAGGGAAGCGGAGTCGCCGGAGCTGTTCCCAAGTGTTGGAATATTATTAAGAAATATTTGCACTAAATAGCACTAAAACATAAGTCATTTCTCTAAGTAGCACTTAAATTGTTTTATTCTCTAAGTAGCACTTAATTATGTCTATAATGACTAGTGATGACGAATATTTACTTGAATAATGACTACTACATAATGACTAAAAATGTTATATTGGGAAGAAAAACACATGTAGTACTATTTAGAGAAAGTCATTATGTTTTTGTGCTATTTGAGTAAATTTCTCTATTATTAATAATAATATTGCTCATTGAATTATGAAGTACATGATAGAGTATATATAGGAGAGACTCCTAATACAACTAGGAATAGAGAATGGAAACTAACTAACATACAACATCTACCACAAATACGATTAGGAAGCTGACTAATAATGAAACACTACCATAACCAATACTACAAGAAGTACTATTAGTATTATTGTCTAACATGCCCTCTCAAGCTGAACTTTGGCTAAAGCAAGAGGAAGCTTGGACACTAGCTCGAAACTTTGAGAAGAGAAACGTCCGACATGCGCCGGTGGCTACTGACGTTAGTTGAAGAAGAGAGAAGCCTGATGTGCGCCGCTGGCTGCTAACGTCGTTGGAAAAGAGAGAAATTGACGTGCGCTGGTAGCTGCTGACGTCGATGAAGAAGAGAGAAGGCTATTGGAGGCGTCTGCTTGATTGAAGATCCTTGACATTTTTTGTCTTTTTCTTGGATCCGGGCAATGCCCCGTTTCTTTCTTAAAGGCGTGAGTTGTAGAGGTATTCTTTCCTCTTTCACTACTTCCCCTCTTGGCTTTGCTTTTGTGCTGATTTACTTTGGATTTTTATTGGTTCAACATAAGAGAAACAGAAGGAAGATTGATGATTAGAATGAGTTATTTAGGAGAGAAGAAAGTAGGTTGAGAATTGGTGATGGTAAAAACAATTTGGGTCTGAGATTTTGATATGGTGAATTAGAGAGAAACAATAATCATTTTTTCCCTTTTTTTGAGCAGATAGGATGATCTGAGAGAGTTTGTGAGGAGTTGGGTTTTTTTTGAAGAACCATGGAGATGACAGGAGAGAAGTTCCTCCTTTGATAGTTTTTTTTGTGTGATTTCAATAAGGGTTGTTTTCCTTTTTTTTTCATTTAAGTGGAGAAGTTGATTTGAGGATAAAAAAGGAAAAGAAACTAGAGGTGAATAGGGTGGATCGAGCCGCCGTCGCCGGAATTACCGGCGGCAGCGGTGGGAGCAAAGATCTTTTTTTAGGTCACCAAGAGCGGTGGCTCTGATACCATGTTGGAATATTATTATTAATAATATTGCTCATTAAATTATGAAGTACATGATAGACTATATATAGGAGAGACTCTTAATACAACTAGGAATAGAGAATGGAAACTAACTAACATACAACATCTACCACAAATAGGATTACGAAGCTGACTAATAATGAAACACTACCATAACCAATACTACAAGAAGTACTATTAGTATTATTGTCTAACACTAAGGTAGTAGTGCTCGCCTACCGTACTGGAAAAACATGGGCACTCCCCTCCCAAAATAAAACTAATATCGTGTGTGGTGATTGTACGGACCAACCATGTAACACCCCAAAACATACCCTAAAATTTTTAATGAATAAATATTCAATTAGTCAAATTTGTTTCGATTAAAATAAATAGTTATTGGGCTTTGGGCCGAAATGAAATGTGTTTTGATATCCAATATCTTAATCTGGATAAATCTCATAGAGATAAATCCAATATGTTGAATATTTGTGTGGTCTTGATTGGGAACATGAGTACAGACCCAAATCAAGAATAAATAAAGAAATTAGTTATGTAGTGAACTTTGAAGTAATATATTGAAATAAATCATGGAAATAAATAATATGAATTGAATATGAGCGCCTTTTTGAGTAAAGGTCAATTAAATCAGTTTTGACTCTGTCAAAGTCAACCACCCAAAAATATGATGTCGAAAAAAGTATTACAAATAAATATAAAAATTATATCGTTGGATAGAGTTTAAATGTACGATCACAACGGTGCAAACGGATTTCAATTCAGAGAAAGTTGGACCAAAAAGTGTTCCCCGACTGGGACCAAATTAGTCCCAATCAGGGACTTGCGTTTGGAATCGCAGGAATCGGCCGTCCCCTCCCCTGAGCGCCAAAACAGGAGAATTGGTGTCATCCTCCATGTCTCCTTCTCCATTCACCTCACTATATAAACCCTCCATTTCTTCACCATTCTTCATCAAATTCATTCTGAGAGATAGCCTTGAGTGTGGAGAACGCAGTGGTGCTGTCAATTTGGTGTGAGGTCGCTGGAGTTGAGAGCTATCGTCGCCGGAAGTTTCGCCGGAAAATATTCAAAACCTTCATTTACCTTCGAAGTAAGCCCGTAGATATATCTAATGACTAGAATGTTCATATAGGTCGTTTCTACGTTCATAAATGGTCATTTGGTTGAGTTTTTTGTTTGACATGCTTGAAGAACTAAGAATCATAACCATGAAATTGATGTTAAAATTATGAATTAATGATGCTAAAATGATCCATGAACCTTGGAAAATATTTTAATATACTTTAATTGAAGTTTGGGAAGTAAAAATGACATTTCCGCAAGATCACTCAAGGTAGAAGACGATGAACAGTCGATTATCAACTTGAAAATCGATTGTGGCTTGTTCTGCAGATTTTTGGAACAGAGCTAAGCAACAGTCGACTGTCAGCCCTCTCTGAAGTTTGATAATCTATTATCAGAGTGTGATAATCGATTATCAGCCCATTCTGAACATCAGACAGTAGATTATCAGAAGTGACAGTAGACTGTCTCCCTACACTATTGAAAAAAATGAAGCTAATAGTTAATAATTAAATTTCCTATCATATATTAATCAATTATTGTTTAGAAAACATAATTCTTGAACTATGAAATTCTATTTTTGATACCAATTAATTATGCACAATATAAATATGATTTTGTATAATAAAAATGATGTTTTTGGCATATAAAATATTATGTGATGCATGACGATAAGTTCGGGTGTTAACACTCGAGACTAGGCCGCTGTTTGTTATCAAATCTTATGATTGATGATTATGATGAATGATTATTATGATGATTATTACTTGATGAAACTACTGATTAAAATGATCATTGAAGATTAAATTATGAATTGAAATGAATATGTTGAAGATTATGAAATGATTTGAATTGTAAGGATATCTAGAAGAACTATAAGATATACCTAGGTTGACGTTGGTTTCTAAGACTATTTAGAAGACCTCTAAGATGGCTTTGAAATAGGCCTTGCGGGTATAATTATGAATATTCGGTGGCCTGGGTTAAAACGTACGTACGAAATCTACAAACCAAACTAGAGGAACTCGTTTGGGGATACCACCCAACCCGACAGTGAGCATTCCGCTGTTCGGTTTCTGGATGACTTTAAGCGAAGGTAATTTAAGATTTTGAAAACCTCTTTTTGAAAATTTGTATGTTAAACTAGGCCTAGCTTAAGGGTTAGTCAAGAGTACCTTAAACTCGAATATAGTTTAAATATCTTAAACTAGAATTCGTTTAAGAGTTGGTAAACATCAAATAGATTGGCCTTAGACTAAGAATAGTTTAAGGATATTATTGAATGAGGATGTTGAATGTTGAATATGAATATTGAATGACGAATATTGAATACTGATTATTGTATATTTGAACTGAATACTTTGTGCATGATATCAAAAGATTTGATTATGAATTTGGGTTCAATTTATATGGATGTTCGACGCATTAGATATGCTTACTTAGCTTCACCGCTGAGCGTGTAGTATGTTTTATTTGCTACACGCAGGTTAATAGAAAGAATGATGTGACGTGATTCTGGAGGCAGACGGAGGCGAGATTGTCGGAATGGATGTGATGGTTTTGAATTAAAGAACATAAACAAATTATGTTTGTAATTATGATTTGTTAAGCTTCCGCAATATTGAAAACTCCGCACTGTATATGTTACGAAAAATATTATCGTGATAAATAAAAGTGTTTGAAAAGTTTTAAATTTTACGATTACCAAGTTAATACTTTAGTCCGAAAGGGGCTGCAGACCTGGACGTATTAGAGTGTTACAAACCACACACCAACGAATAAGAACAACGAGCAGTGGTCGGCCGCCGTCTGCTTTCTTCTCCGGTGGCATCAATTGCAGCGGCCAAAGCCGCTGCACACTTTCCTATTTGGTGTGATTCCTTCCCCCCTTCCTCATGCTATGAAGCTTCAATTTATATAAACAATCCAACTTCAAATTCTTCCCGTTGACAATAAGAGAGAGCTGTTACTTAATTGAATTGGGAGCGTAGAAGAATTTGAGACGTTGGAGGCTTAGAGAAGATAGTCGTCGCTGCTTGCCCGAAGAAGAAGTAGTCTCCGCTGACTTCTCCTTTTTTCCATTTGGTGCGTGAGATAGAATTGCGAGAGAAGTGTGGCTTGGTCTTTTTGTTGATTTAATGATGGGTTTGGGCTATAGCCCAAATTCAATATCTTCTTCCAAACTTGAGCTGCATTTTGGCTTTTTTCTGCATTTTTCTCCAAAAAATAAGATATCTGATTACTTGGGTTAGGAAAAATAAAATAAAGAAAATAATAAAATGTAAAAAATTGATTAAAAAACTTCTATTTGTGCAAGAAAATTAAAAGATTGAAAAAGTTGGAATAAAAATAAAACTAAGCAAAACACCTAAAAATTAAACTCTAAAAATCTTTAAAATGACTAAAAAAGAATAAAAAGAACCAAACCAAACCCAACTTATCAGCTGTATAGGCTTTAGGTTTAAAAATCCCAAATTTGGCCCGCGTTTGCATAGGGTGAGCATTGGTTGTGGTTGTGGTAGGTGATGATGGTCGACTGTGTTGGGAAGAACGGTGCAGTGGTTAGACCGTCTGTAGAGAATCAAAAAGGGTTGGTCGGAATGGTCGACCGTGGGTAGTGGATCGGTCTTGCAGGTCGACCGTCCGTAAAGTGTCACAGGGTTGTGGAATTTGCAGTCAATCGTGCGCAAGGCTATGGTTGTGATTGTCGATCGTTGGAATGATAGAATCAGAAGAGAAAACATTCGAGCAGAGTGGCACTTGAGCCTGTGAGCTTGGTCGAGAGGGAAAAATGGGAAATGATACCTAGTGGGCTAGAGGAGGAGGGAGTGGACAAGAGTTGAGCGTAGGGAAACTGATCTTTGACAAAACAAACATGATGGGAAATATATGTTCTTTGGGAGACATGGTCATAAGATTTGTAACCCTTCATTGTGGGACAATAACCAAGGAAGACATATGGGGTAGAGCGTAGTTGTATTTTATGATGAGTGTGAGGACGTAGCTAGGGATACACAAGACATCCAAAAGGACGGAGATGAACGTAGTCATAATTGATAGTAAAGAGCTTCAAACGGAGATTTATGTTCTAGAGTTTTGGTGGGTAAATGGTTGATGAGATAGTTAGCTGTAGCAAGAGCGTCAACCCAAATGGAAGCGGGCATATGGGAATCATAGAGCAAGGCAAGGACAGTCTCAATGAGATTACGATGCTTTCGTTCTGCAATTCCATTCTGCTCAGGAGTGTATGGACAAAATGTATGATGAAGAATACCTAGGTTTTGAAGAAAGAGGCCAAAAGTAGTATTAACAGATTCTTTTCCATTATCACTTCAAAAAAATTTGAATGTTTGAATAAAATTAAGTTTTTATCATTTTTTTCAAAGCTAATGAAAACTGAGTATGCCTCAGACTTTTGTTTAAGTGGATAAATCCAAGCAAATTTGTTGAAATCACCAATAAAAGAAATGTAAAAATGAAAGCCATAAACAGAATGAGTAGAAGTTTGTCCCATAACATCAAAATGAATTAATTGAAAAGGTGCATTTGCCTTATGTTCCGATAACTCAAACGCTAAACGACAAGACTTAGACACATCACAAAACTCACAATGTAGGGTGACAACACAGACTTAGCAATAGCATGCGCCGGGTGACCAAGTCTACGATGCCAGGTAGATGTTGTAACTTCTTGACACACAATTGGAATGGGCTTGGAAGGGAGAGTGTATAGACCGTGCTCACAAGGACCCATGTACCGCACCTGATTCATAATATTGTCCACTATCTGAAAATTATTGGCATTAAACACAAGGGTGCAAATATTATCTTTGGATAAATGGTGAATTGAGAGTAAGTTAGAGGTAAGGGAAGGGACATGATTAATAGATGGGAGGTAATATTTACCATGTGGTGTGTGATTAGAGCCTCAGCTAGTATGGGTAATAGGTAAATTATGACCATTACCTACAGTGATAGTTTCAGTGCCATGATAGGGAGTCGAAGATTGCAGCTGTGGGAGATCGTGTGTAAAATGAGTGTTGGCACCTGTATCAAGATACCAATCACAAGATTGGCTGCTTGTGGTGGCATGCATAGCACGGGATGCGTTGGCTGAGTTGTTTACGGTATAAGAGTCATCATAGCGGTATCAGCGGGATAGTGGTAGGATGGCCACACTTCGCGCAAATTTGGCAAATAGGAAGATCCCATAGGACGGTCGACCGTGACGTCCTCCTCGACCGCGGCCTCGACCATTGGAAGTGGATAAGGCTGTGTGAGTGCTTCGAGAAGCAGAATCATTGATACTTAATTTGTTCTCCGTTTCAAGATTGATTTCTTCAGAGGTGAGCCATCTAGAAAGCTAATATATACTGATATTCTCATTGTTCATTCGAATATACTACTTGAAGGAGGATTATTTAGTAGGAAGACCTCAGATAACAGCATTGACTAGATCTCTTTCAGGAATTACTTCATTGAGAGCATCTAGATCTGTAAGAATGGTGGCAACTTCATCGAGATATTGAGTCATAGTTTTGGTACCTTTGCGAAGCAAGTGAAGCTTGTCTCTGAGTTGGTAAATATGGGCTGTTGACACCGAGTTATAACGTGCAGCAAGGGCATTCCATAGATTAGCAGAGGTAGTAAAACTCTGAGCATGTTTGTGAATAGTGGGGCTTATAGCAGCAAGAAGACATGCATGTATTTGGGTATCAATCATAGACCACGTACTGTACGCCGGATTAGGGTTTACCTTTCCATCCTTGGAGATTGTTTTTGGTGGTGCAACTTCAGGACCTCGATCCATCCAAGAATAAGATTGGCGTCAAGGATAGTTCAGACATTGAGAGATAATAAGAGGTAGTTTAAACCTATGAGTTTTTCAGGAACAAGATTATGGAGACTACAGAGTAAAAGTTTAACTCCGGAAGACAGGGAAGCAAGAAGATCTAATATTGACACCATGAGTGTCGAACGATCCACCACAGCGGAAGACCAAGTAGCGACGGTCGACTGTCGCCAGAAAAAAAGGGAGACCGGCCGTTAAGCATGGTCGAAGAAGAAGAATAGGGTTTGGAGCCTTAACTCCGATACCGTGATAGAATTTAAGATGGGGTATGAGTCATTGGATTAGGCAATAAGACACTAGGGTTGAACCACTTTAAAAGATTGAATCCACACTTACTTCAACTCACGAGCCTATATATCAATTACTCCCTCCGTCCTATAATGATCTTCCCAGAGCACTATTCCAACTTCACGGGAATTTATATTTATTTGTGTTTTTCATGGCCTATATGATAAAATAAAATATTCTTGTCACCACTTATTTTGTTGAACTTTTGGTGTAGTTTTTAAATATGTATGTTTTATTTTTTATGTCTATACCAATATTTAAATAAAATAGATTGAAAAAACTTAGGATTTTTCTTCGTTTTGCGAACCGGGAAGATCATTATAGGACGGAGGGAGTACTTTTCTATTCAAGTTCTGATGTGGGATAGACTCTAACACTCTCCTCAAGTGGATAATCGGTTCATTTTGAATCTAACCAGTTGAACACTAGTAAATGATTTCTCATCTCTTTGATTTTTTTTAGCGCCAACACCTAAAGGATCATGAGCCGCTAGGTATGGACTTCATGACGAGCACTCGTGTTAAACGGGCCACAAGTTGTTGAGTACATACTTTATACAAACTGGGCTAAAGACAATTGGGCCGCTAGGAATGAACGTCTAGATGAATACTTTGACAAACGAGATAAGTCAAAACTTGTCCTGATACCATGATACAATTGGATAATAATTGGTCTTACTGGATAATGAAGTCTCATGGAATATTTATAGTACTACCTCCGTCCTATTTTATAACGCATGTTTCAGTTTACGATTTTTGACTGAAATTATTTTCAAACCATTTTATATGACAAATGATATAGAATTAAAAAAAAATTACATATTAAAAAATTAATCAAAAGATCTACAAAACTAGTAGTGACAATAATATTTTATTTTATCAAATTGCTAACGAAAATAGAGAATGAAAGTAAATGACGTTTGACCCTGTGAATAGTAAACAGGTATTATAATTTGGGACGGAGGGAGTACTACATAGAGAGTCTTAAATAAGGTAGAAATATAAATATGGTAATACAAGAATAAGGGAATAGAATATTAGGATTTTTTCTATTAATGAGCAAGTGGTAGATATATAAAGTGGGTAAATATAATTTTTTTACATCCGGTAGGAATGAATTGTTTAAGGGGTAGTTTAGTTATTCCACCAATAAAAGCTTACAATGCTAGCGAAATTACAAGTGTTTTCTATTTATTTTATTTCTAAAAAATGAAACAAAAATAAAAAATAAAATTTATATATTTAAAAACTACATTAAAAATTCTTCAAAATAAGAAATGAGAAGAATATTTTATTTTTTAAAATACTATCTTTGAGATATATATTTGTTCAATTTGACTTTTAACGAATCAAAGTAAACAAACTTTGAGTTTCATTATTCTTAATTTGTATCACATATTAGTTAATAAAATAAAATTTTGAAAATTCACAATAAGATAAATTCAATAAAGTTACTTTTATACTAAAATAAATTACAATTTTTGTTTAATTAAAGTTCAAAATTCAGATTGAAGCCAAATTTCCACCGTGAATCCTCGAGCACGCACTGGATTTCACCGTAGATAATTGATTTATCAAAAGGACGGCGGCATACAATAGACCGAGCACAATACAATAGGGAGTATAATTATCTTAAAAAGAGAACATTAATATCAAATCGATTTGAAGACGTATAGGGCCGGTAAAAAAAAAGAAAAAGCAAAGCAAAGGAATTGAATAGACGAGGAGACCGACGAGGGTGTGGATGGATCAGGAGATGCGGCGGCAGAGGGTGATGCCGTCGCCGACGGGAAGCATGCAGATCTCGATCCTGGGATCGGCGGCCAAGGCTTTGTTGAGCTCGAGCACGAAATCCCTGTAGTACCTGATGTACTTCCTCATGGGAGCGTCGGGCGGAGCCACGACGGAGCCGTTCCACAGGGTGTTGTCGTAGCCGATCACGCCGCCCACCTTCACCAGATCTATCAACCTCTTGTGGTAGTTCAGGTAGTTGTCTTTGTCGGCGTCCACGAATATGAAGTCATACGTTCCGTGATTGATTTCCTGCACATGTACGTGTCATTGATTGCACAATTTTGAACAGCGAAAAGTCAAAGTGTGTACAGTACTTTGGGTTTGGGTTCGGGTTCGGGTTTTGGTTTGGTAGGTGAGATAATAGTGAGAGGACGGACGGACGGACGGACTTGTCACTTACGTCTTGAAGGAGGCGATCCAGTATGGGCAACGCCGGGCCTTCCCTGAAGTCAATTTTGTGGGCGACGCCGGCTTTTTGGATCACCGGCAACCCCAGTTCATAGTTTTCTTTGTTGATGTCCATCGCCAATATCTGCATATTTTTTTCCATTATATATATATATATATATATGTTCAATTATATATATGCTCTGTATATATCATCATAATATAGATAAAGTTTACTCCTCCGACCAAAGAAAAATGTTTAATCATTTCTTTTCATGTGTTTCAAAATGATGTAAAATTTTACTAGTACTTCCTTTTTTCTTTTTTTAGAAGAAAAACTTCTTTCTTTCTTCTCGAATTATTTGTCTTAGTTTAAATTATGATATATATATATATATACAAGCAATGATAGGGGTACACCTTGGGTACACCAAAGGTGTACCCTAATTATACACCACATGCTTCTCCACCACATATCTCTATTTGATTTTTATTTTTTTATTTTTTTTGAATCTCTTGCCAATTATTGTGGACAAGGAAAGGTAGGGGACAATTGGGGTACACCTTTTGGTGTACCCCTAGCATTTTTCTTGAATATATATATATATACTTTGTCCGTTTATAATTTTTAAGAAGAGTTAAAAGTTTACTACTATATTTATAAACTAATGAAAAAAGAGTTCTCGCCCGCATGGGTAGCTCAGTTGGTCAAGAGTGTGAAATCTTGGACCGATGACCAGGGATCGAATCCCGCAAGCGGCAGTGTGGGAGCTATCCAAAAATCCCATAAAGGGTGAGGAGGCTCCTTGTGCGCGATGGACACGGGTCTAGCGTTCTTGGCCGACTGAGTCACCATGATTTACGTCCTCCACCACTCCTGTTGGGCAAGGGGGTGGGGGCACCTGGGGTGGGCGATTCCACCTTTTGGACCGATGAAAAAGGAGTTCTCAAGAAACAAAAAAGACATTTGAAATGATGTGTATGGACACCCGGAGTTATATAAGAAAAAACCTCACCGAATATTCAGCAACCTTTTCCCTAAATGATGAGTAAATATGACTTCTCAATTCCCACCCACTCTATAAAATATTTGCCGTACGCAACGCACCACCCCTAACCAAACACACGCATGCTTCATTTATTCATACTCCCTAGCTATATCCCTTGTTAATTGAAATTGATCGTAATATAGGTAGCAGATAGTAAAACCTTTCCGTCATGGGGAATGGCTAGAGCGGTGGCTAAGAGTGAGTAGCCCGTGAAAACGCCGATTTCCATGGTGTTCTTGGCATTGATCAACTTCAGAAGCATGCTCAAGAACTGCCCTTCATCCGCCGATGTTGTCATCAGATTCCTGCATTCATTCATTCATTCATTAACAAACCATTCCACACTTCTCTAGAGAATTTAAAAGAGAAAACAAAAGAAAAAATGAGATATAGTGAATTCAATTCTATGGAATTGAATCTCATGAAATTTTAATTCCAATTCAATTCTAATTTCATCAATTCCTTGTACCAAACGGATCCTGAGAGAAATTATTTTTCTTTTCTTTGTCTCAAATTTCCTTGAACCAATGGCGCCCAATGTTCCTTTATCTAAATACTATCTCATGGTCAAACCAAACATTACATTATCTGACTGTGATTTGTGAAATAAGTATATTTGGTTATAATGTAAATTCAGTACACAGTGCAATAAGATTTATTTTGCAACGTAAATTTAATATTCCTCAAATATTATTTAATTTATGTAGAAACTAAACTCACCATGGATGTTTTGCTGTGATTTCTCTAAGCTCCTTCATGTGCTCTGGCTCTCTTGGGTAAACGCTCGTCTCAAGTATATACTGCACAGTTTCACCAATCATACAAGTAAATTAAATTGAAAAACACCTAAAAGGCTGTGAATTTTATTTATCCTTACAGGGAAAATTAACAATTGAGTAAAAAACAAGCTAAGGATTTTGAATTTTGTTTTTGTTGTTTTTGCTATGACTAAATACCTGATAAAGAGCATCGCTTTGCAGAAGGCTCTTGTGGCCGACTTCCTGGTGTCTGTTGGTCTGATTCTGAGTGGAATCGCCGCCGTTCTCCGCCATGATATTTGATTCTCCGGCGAGTTTGAGTGTTTTAATATAGGTTCACCTTGAGCAGTAGTCGTACGCTTTATTATTGGTGCCTGATCAAGTGAGGGGAAAGTGGGAGGTTATTTATGCATGAGAGTCTCCGGTTCACACCGGGTTTTTTCTTCTTCTGTATTAGTCAGACCGCCAGCAGCCCGGTCGGGGGTTGGTGAGGGAAATCCAATGGATGTGTCTGATGTGCTGTGGTGGTGGGTCCCAGTGGAGTCGTTGAGGTGGTGGGTCATCATTTTCCGGTCACCAAACTTGCGAAGACTAAGTATCCAAAGCTGACCTCACGATCGCAAGCACCAACGGACGGCGCGGATTCGCCCAATTTGGTGAGGATGGACTTCGCAGGGTTGATAACCCGTTTTTGTCATGTTCTTGCAAATTCAAAGGTCCACGGAAATCGAGCCACAAAAATGAAAAAGCCCTTTAATTTTTTAAATAATGTCATTCAAGTCTCAAAAATACTCCTCCGCGTTTCTTAGTATATGTCCATTTTTGATATTTTGCAGTTAATTATTTTCAATTTTTAATCTACAACTAAATAATATATCTATTGTATATTACTCCCTCCGTCCTAATTTTTTCTTCTCAGTTTGACTTTTTCCCATTTCTAATTTTTGGCTTTGACTTCAAATTTTACCTTCCTTAAAAAAGATTTTTCTAATTTTTTTTTGCAATCATTCAAAATATAGAGTTAGAAGATAATTGGTGTAAATACACGAGAGTATTAATATCATTTGTCATCTTTTTTTTCTAATGGGAAGGTAGTTTTAGGACGGAGAAAAAGGGGAAGTGTGAAGAAAGTTTTAGAACAGAGGGAGTAATAATGTAAAATAACATTTTGAAAATATTTTATAAACTGAATCTAATAAAATTATATTTATATCAATATCTAATATCACTATTCTTAAATTTATGGTCAAAATTTGCCAACTTTGACCTAGAAATGTCAATAATGGACAAACACTCACGGACAGAGGGAATACTTTTTTTCATCAACGTGCAAAACTTAATTACTTTTAAAATAGTTTTATTTATAAATTGATAAGAAAATAAAAAAATTATATTTAAAATATATATCAAAGACTCTACAAAATAAAAGGTCCACTAATAATCCTTCTAAGGACCGAATTGAAGGAGCATTTAAAAGTCATTCAATTATTGTATTTTGTACAAAATGCTAGTATCTATTTTTCTCTTTCAATAATATCATCAAACTTCTCTCTACAATACTCAAAAATAGCATTCAAATATTTTTAAATAGCGACTATAGTTTTTAATACGCAATTTTTTTATTCGTGTTCTCTAATTGTATGCATTTTCTAAAGCTTTTTCTTTACTTTTTATGTGCTTCAATGGTACTTGTAGCCATCTATGTCCACAAAAATTAATTGTTTTAAAACATAGTGAAATGAGACGATGAAAGTGATACAAAGGAGAAAGAAAGATAGTGAGTCAAAAAAATCTTTCCAAAAAAAGAAATAATCGAAACATGAACAAGAGGATTAATTTAGGAGACATGAATATATGATACTCCGTATTTATCATTTTTCATTATTAAAATTGACATCTTTGTTTCAAAAAGTTCTAATATTTTAAAGTACATTACTAAAATATTTATTACTTTATTTATCATCTTTCTAATAAGTTAACATGTGAATTGAAAACTATCTTATCCAAACAAATACCCAATATCATACTCCATTTGGAATTGTCAAAATGAAAGTGATGCCTACTTCTATTGGTACACACTAGAGATTTTTTAGTGCATATGGATAAATATGTTTCCTATAATGCAAAAATAGGGTATCAATGGCTTTTGGGGCATATGCTGAAGGTTAACTAGTCAAAGATGGTTTGGAATAAACTCTCCATTCCAAAACATAAATTTATTCTCTGGCTAATTTGTAGGAACTGTTAGTCGGTTTAGTTGTTGTGCTCACGCCTTAGAGGGGGGTGAATAAGGCGTTTGAAAACTTTTCGGAGTTTGATAAAAATGGTGTTGGCAAATGCGGAAGCAATATATAAAACGCAGAAATAAAAGCGTAAAGTAAAATGCACACCGAATTTATACTGGTTCGGGAAACCCCTACTCCAGTACCTCGAGGCTCCTCCTCAAGGATTTCTGAATCCACTAAGTACCGGTCTCTTGAACTCCGTCAAAGCACCACACTAGTTTTGGCAAACAACCCTTGCCAATAGGATTCACTCCGAGATTTCACCACGACTATCTCGAACCGTTTACAATGAAGATTTAATGGCTATCTTCCACCGTTCCCCCAAGGATTTCAAAGGCTATCCTTGAACCTTTACCCAAGGATTTCTACGGCTATCCTTAACCGTTACAACGTGAGAATTTAACGGCTATTCTCGACCGTAAGAAGGTGTGTTTGAAGAACACAAAAGTAGATTCTACACAACGGCTAGAATATTAAAATGAAGAACAAAACTTAGCCGGTGTAGAAGGAAAATATACTCTCTCAAAAATACAATATAAACTCATAAATATGAGAATATATATAACTAAAAACACAAGCTCAAAGTGTGTGTATTAAATTAGGATCTTAAGGCTCTTAAAATAGCCAAAATATTGAAAATAATTAATAAAAGGATGAACACACTTAGAATAAAAAGAGAGAATGTTTAGAGCATTGTTTCTTGAAGAAATATGAAGGATTAGGCTTGTATTTATAGTGGAAGATGTTAATTAGCCGTTGGGAGGTGATTAGGGTTGATTTAATTCAAAATCTCAAATCAGAAACAGTAACCCAACGGTCACGGTAGGCCGGTACCGTCCACACGGTAGCATGGTATCGTGCATACGGTAGGGGGTACCGTGAGTGGCGGTACCTCGATACCGTGTCCCACTAAAATCCATTCGGCTCTGGCGGTACCTGGTTAGGACAGGTTGGTCCAACCGTCTCTGCCTACCATCGGTACCCAGGTACCATTACACGGTATGGGGGTACCGTGTAGGCGGTATACCCTACCATTTGGGGTACTGCTAGGGGTACCGTGACTCTGTTCTGATTTTTCCAAAATTCCCTTAATCCTTCGTGTTTGAGTTTAAAACCTTTTAGATGTTTGAAAATGTTTATGGGATGGTTTTAAATATATTTTGTGAGTGCTTTTGAGCTTGTGAATATAGGTATATAAAGTCATATCCTCACATTGGTTTCTACCTATATTCTACGCTAATTTAGTGTTTCGACTTCATTCTTGAGTACCGAATCTTAATGGATTCTTGTTTTTCTTGAAACACTTAAACAAACGTTAAGCTCTTATATTGTTTGTTAACATCAAAACATGAGGCTTAACAACCCAAGGCTAACAGGAACAAACTTCATATCAAAAGCAGATTGAGTAAACTGTTTCTAGTTAACACTCAGTGTTTGCTCTTCAAACAGTAGACGAAGATAAACACCATCTCTTTTGTACATGTCCCTATACTAAGGAGCTTTATAAGAGGATCTATGCTTGGATCTAAAATAGGAAGCTTTTGTAGAAGGATTTATGCTTCGAGTCAACACCAATTCGAGGGAGGCTGTATTGGAGAAATTTTTGGGCAACTTCAGAGTATTGCTCCCGTGATAAAACGAAGGAAGATTATAGCAATTATTTTTTGTGCTTATGTTTACTATATCTGGAAAATTAGAAATTTGATCCTGCACACAAACATTCTTATTCCAATTGAGGAAACTATTCATTGGATTAAGTACCATATATCACTTATTTGAACTCTAAAACATAAGGTCTTGCCTGAATGTGTTTTTTAAGTCTTTGGTAGCTTAGTAATTGTATGTTTGTTTTCATAGATGTTGCTTGTTTGTTTCTTGGTACATATTCTACATAATGAGATAGATTGATTAATAAAATTTGCACTTGGTTCAAGAAAAACATCATACTCTTCAATTTTTGAAAAAGTAAGCTAAGTTAAATTTTTTAATAAAAATTCAAAAGAGAAAAGAAGAAACTTTTAGTGACACTTTTAAAATTTTAGACAGTTTAATGACATTACTAAAAGAAAAAAAGAGAGAATGACACTGTAACACCCCCACCCCCACCATTGTCGTAAGTGTCCTCTCATAGGATTGTAAACTGGTACAAACCAACACAAGTCTTTCCCGCACACTTAACTTCCCATGGGTCACCCATCCTAGAATTGCTCCAAGTCAAGGCACTTAACTTTAGAGTTTCTAAGTGATGAGCTCTCGAAAAGAAGATGGATCTTGTTGGTATGAGTAGTACTATCAACCCTTTTTTAGCCTTTTCTTTACCCAATCCATTTATTTTCAAATCAGGGTATTATATTCACCCTCACTTAGGAATGCAACGTCCTCGTGGCATCCTTTTTTTCAAACTCCTAGGTCTTCCCCGCTAGGTGAACTAAGCTCTCTTGGCCCGTCACGATCGCAGGGTTGCTCTGATACCATTTATAACACCCCGGCCACCACCTTAGCCGTAAGCGTCCGTTCATAGGATTGTAGACTGGTCTCACAAACCAGCACAAGTCTTTCCTGTGCACTTTTTCCTCACTCGTTCGTGCCTAAGGAACGTCCTAGAGGGTCACCCATCCTAGAATTGATTTAAGTCAAGCGCGCTTAACTTTAGAGTTTCTAAGTGATGAGCTCTCAAAAAGAAGATGCACCTTATTGGTATGAATAGTACTATCAATCCTTTTTGAGCCTTTTCTTTCCCCAATTCATTTATTTTCGAATTAGGGTATTACAAGATGACCGACAGGGGAGGCAGTATGTTGTTGGCTGAAGAAAACATGTTTTAGGAGACTACAAAAGTTGTAGATAGGCGAACATAATGGAGTAAAAGTACGAAATGGTGGGGAATATCAAAGATGGAACTAGCCTTTAAATTAAAAAAAGAAGGAAAAGGGGATATTAAATTCCAACAGTCAACTGATGAACAGGGGTCCACATTCCCAAGGGTTGGATAACTGTGAAGGGTCAGCGATGAGACGTGTGGTCTTCCTTAGGCAGCACGACCCCCAATGAGATAAGACATTGTTGGGGGGAAACACTAAGAAATAACTGGCATCTCCTGAGTGTTGCTCGAGATGCTTTCCGAATATACTGCGTAACACGACATATGGTCTTAAGCACACCCCGACTCGACGTTGGGGAAAATTAGGGACACACCACCTTATGAAAAACATAAGGAAAGATAAGTCCCAATGGTAAGTTCCCTAGGAGAGGCCTATTCTGGGAAATAAGGTCTATCTGATAGTCGGATCTCACTTCAGCACAAGAAGGCATCAGAATAATTGTGAAGGAACCAAAAAACAAAAGTCGGGCAAGAAAGGAATGTCATTACACAATCAAATCCAAGGAAATACTAAATGATACTACACTGAGTCTTACTATAAGAAATCTGCTAATGAAAAAAAGGAAAAAACATGCTACTCGGCGGGAGGTTCCCCCTAGCTTAGAGACCACCTCTGGCTCGGTGAACTTCTTCCAAGCTGCAACAAAATCCCTAGGAAACAGGAGAGGCCTTGGGAAGAAGGACGGACACAAGCTCTGAACACAATGACGAACGTCTCTCCTCGTTACCCTTCATAAAGCTACCGATGGCGAGATCTCCCAAGAAGGATTCACTGGCTGGGAAGGACTCAAGGAAGTGGATGTCATCTCGATTGAGGATCTTCTCCCAAGTGGATTTCTCCCACAAACTTGGGAAGCTCACGGCGGGCATAATCCTCAAGGGAGGAAGCATAGGCAAAGGACTATTGAAAGCGAACCACCGCCTCCTTGCAAAACTCTCCACATTGCATGTCAGGTTAGACTCCCCTGTGAGGAGATTGACGCGATGAAACTTGATCCCAGCCGTCTTCGGCAAACCAACCAGCTGCTCTGCCTGGGTGGCCCATTTGTGCAACTTGAGACGCTTGACCTGACAACTATCCAACTGCCCCTTCAGCTCCCTGGCAATCTCGACATCCTTCTCATGTTGGTCCCTCAGTCAGACGCACTCCTGAGATGCTTCCTCCAAGAACGGTAAAGCTCCTCCATCTGCTTCTTCTGGTCGAAGGTTGCTTGGGAAGCAGACACAAGAGACTACATAAGATTAAGAAGAAGATAAGGACAAGGTGAATCGGATCGAGGTTATAGCTGGAAGGGAGCAAAGGGAATTAATAATGTAAGACTCGCCCGCACGCCATCTAACAAGGCCAATTCTTCCCAATCATCAGGATTGTAACCCTTGAAATATTCCGAATGCAACTATTGACGGACTGACTTATGAAATGTACTGGCATAATGTCGTAGCTTTAATTGATGCCCAATTGGGGAGTCTTGACAACCACCAGCAGTGCCACTGCGTTTGGTGACACCAGCGGTGCCACTGCGTTTGGTGACACTAGCCGTGCCACTATGTTTTTGAAGTACTTCCGGTGCTCCATTCATAAAATTGGCAGTTCCTACCCCCTGACCCACCCCCTGAACCCCCACCCTACCCTCGCCTCTACACCACCACACCAACCACGTTGTAAGCCCCTCACAAAATGTGTGGCTATTATGCATTGCATAATAGCCACACATTTTACGGGGGCTTACGACGGGGTGGGGGTGGGGGTGCAGAGGCGGGAGTAAAGTTGGGGGTTCCGGGGGTGGGTTATGAGGGGAGGAACCGTCAATTTTACGAATGGATCACCTGAAGTGCCCCAAAATGACAGTGGCACCAGAGTGTCATCGTTAGGGCTGTTCATTGGTCCAGAACCAGACCAGACTTGACCAAACTGGACTTGCCTGATGACCAAAAAAAAGAATAAAGTAGGACCGAAGACCGGACCTATTAATAATTGGTTTTAGACCGAACCGAACCGAAATATATTAGATCGAACCTATCTGGACCGAAAAGACCGAAGTAATTGTGCAAAGAAGAAAATAGGTAGAGCAGAAAAGTGGGGGGAAGAATACTCTGTTCTAGAAGCTGGAAGAGATGTTTTTGCAACTTCATAAAAATTTGGAATCAAATGATCGAGCTCCACAAAATAATTGGACTGTATCTTGAACACATAACACATTCATATGGATGTTAAAAGCTTAAACATCAATACTAATTCAAATTCTCACAAATACGAAGTATCAAATATCCAGCAAGAACAAATTAAGGAAGATTTTGAATATTAATTAAGATTTGAAGATTATACCAAATAAATACATTTACACAAATGATTTTCGGGTTTTAGCACTAAAATATACTTCCAGAAATGAGATCCAAGGGCTAGGGTTCAAGATTTAGTGCCGGCACCCCCTCCATCATCTCGAAGTCTCCTTTCTCTCACTCCCCGGGCATGTTCGCATTAAATCGGAGCTCTTCCCCTTCCGATTTCATGCTCTCCCGTGTGGAAGAAGAAAGAGAAGAGGAGAATGAATGGATAACAAATGAATGGCTAAAGAAATAACAAATGAATGGTTAAGGTGAGGCATGAGGGTGAGTTTGCTACTTGGATGGATAACACATACAGAGTAACTGGCACAAGTAATCGGTCCATTCGGTCCCAACCGAAATAACATTGGGTTTGGACCGGATTTGACCGAAACCCAAAAACTCAAATAATCAAGACCGAAGAACGACCCTAAATATATTCGGTCCGGGTTCGTTCAGTCTGGACCTAAACTTGAACAGCCCTAGTCACCGTACTCCAGTGTCACTAGAACTGTAGAACCCCACCATTCTATCTTTTATAAGATTTTACTCCTATTTATGAAGTTTCCTTTTTTAAAATTAAAATAAATTGCAATATTAAATTAAAGCAACATGCTATACACACCGCAATTATATACAAACATTTTTATGGTTTACACCGACATAAAATGTTGATGCGTTAACAAAAATTTACACGAACACAAAATGTTGGTGTGTTAACAAAAATTAGTTTTGCAACAACACAAAAAGTCGGTGCAAACCTGCGGTGTACAAATGAGGTACAAAAATTTGGGGTATAAGTAGCTTTATCCTAAATTAAAAAAGATTATACCAAACAGGCAAACATATACCTAGAACCGACCTAAAAACTGGCCGGGAACCGAACGAAAACAGACCCGCAACGGCCAACAGGTACCCGGAACCCGCTTTTGAGGAGCACGAATCGAACCGGATTGTCCTACACTACTCAAAACGACTACACGCCCGTAGTCCGAGATTGCTAACCTTTGCCCGCATGGGTAGCTCAGTTGGTCAAGAGCGTGAAATCTTGGACCGATGACCAGGGATCGAATCCCGCAAGCGGCAGTGTGGGAGCTAGGTCATTTTGCAGGCTTTCTCGGTCAGGCTTCAAAGCAAGAATTGCCCCATTTCACTGATGTAGAACATTTTCAGCCCATTTCAATAAATCTTCCGACGCCGATCGGCCAGCGACGATGGCGGAGGCGGAATCGTCCGTCAAATCAAAGCCCCGGCCGATTATTCGCATCGGACTGTTTCTGATTTCACACAGTTTTTTAGTCAGGTACGCGGTCAATCATTTGTTGATTTTAAAAATTGTTGATTTGATTTCTTAATTGAGAGAAAATACAAGCTCATATCATATGAACTGCAGTGTGGTGTGTTGCTTAGCAGGAGTGTTAACTCTGCTTCTCTTGCCTGCTCTTGCTAAGAACACGTACATCTCTGAAAATGCCCTGATGCCTGGTGGGTTTTACTAATTCCTTTTCATTTTCTCCCTTTTACCGCTTTATATCTTCTTCTCTTTGCTGTATTTAAAAAACAAATATGCTTTGATTTGTTACGAAGCCGTAGAAATGCTGTTGTTGGTGAATTGGAATTCATAGTAGAAATCGGAGCATGACTTTTCTAGGTGGAATTTAGTTCTGATCTATAATCTATGTAGTTGAGTCAATTATTGGTAGGTATACTTCGCTTTTCTGCTGAATTTTTCCTATTATTTCTGTGGTGATTGCCTATTATTTTGCGTTACGAGGAGGTAAATTAGACTTTAATGGCAGATTGTTGGTAATGTTACACATTAGCCTGTTGCTTTTGGTAGGTCGCAACTGATAAGAAAAAAGATGGAGAGCCTATATTATAAATCTGAGTGTACCTAGTGCTAGATACATCCATAAAATGTTCATTTTGAATCAATGTAGTGTTCATTTTGAAACAACGTAGTGTTCATTTTCACACATTTGTTTATTATAATTATAATATTCATTTTATGAACAGTGTAGTGTTCATTCTGAAACAATGTAGTATTCATTCCAAGCCTGCTCAACGCAGTGTTCATTCTGAAACAACGCAGTGTTCATTCTGAAACTACATAGTGTTCATTCTGAAACATATTTTAATTACAAGTTTCTTTACTTTGTTATGATGTATGGTACCTGTGGTTGTACAATATAATTTTTCCTGGGCGTGGTTTCACTGGCTGATGATAGTGGCCTAATTATTTCCTTTTCAACCGTCACTTGCCAGGTTCTGCAAGTCCTATGCTCTCTACTGAAGATGCTTCAGATGGGAACAAATTTTTGAACAAGATACTAAACTGGGGTTCAAAGACTTCTAGCTCTGACATGTAGGTATTTTCTTCTACATGTCCATTTTCTGTAGAGATTCTTCACATCGTGCCTGTAAATTGTCTGCTACATAGAGGGCCATGCTTAAATGTCATATAATTCCTTTTAAGACGTTAGATGACATTATCATACTCCCCCTATTTCATAAAATCCTTGAAACTTTTTATTCACAAAGTTTAAGAAAGTTGTTGAAAAGTAAAAAGTATGTGGTTAGAATTTGTTTAGAGGAAAAAGAATTATTGGTAGGAACATATTCATTACCAAAATAGGGGATAAAGTAAGTGTATGATATTTTTTGGGACATCCAAAAAAGGAAAGTGCAAGGAATTTTATGGGACGGAGGGAGTATTTTGAACAAGCCAATTTGAGGTTGTGCAACTGTATATGGAATTTCAACTTATATAAATGCAGTATGATCGTAAATTAAAGAAACAAACTAGATTGGTGGTTTATCCTCCATCAACAATTTTTGTGAGCCATGGTTTCCCAGCTCGCCTTGGCAATCATTTGTACTTGATGTTGTTAAGATTATCAAAGAGATTAAGAGAACAGGTAGATTTTTTCTGCTTGATTTTCTTATCATGATAAATTTATTCAATTTTTGTTCGAATTTTAATTATGCTTCCTGTTACGTGCATCCAGTGAGATTCCAAAGGTGATTGCAAAGCACATGTTGGAGTTGGATGCTGAAGTTAATTATCACAAGTTCCGGCCGGGTTCTAATAAATTTAATCCACTGCACTTTTTCTCGGGTCCCGAGGCAGGAATAGTCCAAGATAACAGTTCATCTTATGGGGTGAACACAGTTGGAATTGTTAGAGCTCCACGTGGTGATGGAAAAGAAGCTATTGTGATGGTCACCCCTTATAATTCTGTCAAGATTACTATGGGTGAAGCTTTATCTCTTGGAGTTGCATACTCAGTCTTCTCTCTACTCTCTCGAGTTACTTGGCTGGCTAAGGATATTATTTGGATTGCTGCTGACGCAAAGCATGGGGAATATGCTGCAGTTGCTGCATGGCTTAGAGATTATCATACGCTTTCAGTTGGTGACTTGAAGCTGCATCCAGATATGTGCGGTGCCAATACTTTGCCAGTTCATAAAATGACAAATGTTATTGGAGATTCAGTATCTAATGGTTTTCGACGTGCTGGCACAATGGCTGCAGCACTTGTCATTAAGGTTGCTGATAGCAGCAATGAGTTTGGGAGGGATGTCCTTAACATATATGCTGAAGCGTCGAACGGGCAGATGCCTAATCTAGACCTTATAAACATTGTTAATTATTTGGCTGTACATGGACATGGTTTACAAGTGAGAGTGGAAAAAATTTGGTCATTGATTGATTCTTGGTGGCTTAAAAGTCTGGGTGAACTAATCGAGTTTCTAGGACAGGTTGCCAAAAGCCTAAATCCACGATGGAAATTTGGCATTCCTGTTTCTGATTATGTTGAAGGTTCTGCCACGCTGGCAAGTTCACTATATAAACAGGTAATTGCTTTGGTTTCTTGGCTAACCATTATTTGGAATTTTAAGGCATCATTTTGACCCTATTACATGATTACGGCCACCCTTCATTTCTTAATAGTTTTAGAAGTATTAAATGGTTGATCCCCATATATTAGTTCTATTCTCCTTCCAGGCTAGAGCATCATGTTGCTCAGAGTCTGTGTTGACTGTTGATTCAACTTTTTTCGCAAACTTCATTTGCTTGTTTAGTACCTCTGATTTTGTGCACCAGGCATTAGGTGTTCCAACCGGCCCACATGGTGCGTTCCGTGACTATCAAATTGATTCAATCACTATGGAGATCTCACCCAAGTTTCCCTCAAGTCATAGAGTTCAGTTCCTTATACGAGTTGGCAGGTCAGTTTTAGTTACATATTGCTCTCGTTCCATATGTTGTTAAACCATGCAATGCATGTGCTTTTCCATCACGATTAGCTTTCATGAGTGGGTTTTGCTGGTAACTGTTATTGCTATTTTCATTATTTGCTTAAGTGCTCTCTTGAATGCGTTCTACATGTTTTTCCTTGCATGTTTGCTTCATTTATTTATTTATTGACTAGGTTCCATGTGTTTATATGTTCCTCAAACTTCTCAGGTTGGTTGAAGGAGTCATCCGGTGTGTGAATAATCTCCTTGAGAAATTTCATCACTCCTTTTTTCTGTATCTCTTGACATCTCCAAGCAGGTTTGTTTCAGTTGGTGTCTACATGATTGCCTTTGTATTGCTCATTGCTCCTCTTCCATTGGTTGCCGCTTCTCTTTACTCTGATACTCCTAAATCAAAGCTCGGGGAAGATAAAATCTCATCTAAATCAGCTTCTTCTGATGAATCCGTCTCAACTTTTGCGTCATGGAAATGGCTTTCTGCTGCAAAAACTGTCCTCGCTGTGCACTTATGGGGAGTAATCGTCACGTTACTTCCTTATTTCATCTCCCAAATCCACAATAACTCTCCATCAAAGAACCTTCTAGCTTGGGTCGCGCTCTCTGCAGTGAGCTTCATCTTCATGCACACCCTATCTGGCTCTTACCCATTCTTAAACAGAAATCAACCCACAAAAACACGAATGGACTCTTCTTAAGTCTGTAAACATCACAGCTGCTTTCGTGGGACTATGTCTCATGTCTGTGATAAACTTTGCAACAGCTGAAATTGGGGCATTGTTATTGGTTCCTATGTGTTTGTCCGTCGTACCCTTGAGGCTTGATTTTAAAAATGCAAAAACTACGTTTATGGCGTTCGCTCGGGGAGCTTGTAATGTGCTTTTGGTGTTTGTGGGGTTTCCTCCAACCATGG